CAGCTGCGCTCTGCCTCCTGCTGGCTTTGGGCCGGCTGTCCTGCAGTCCATGCCCTCCCTCTTCCTCCTCTTATCTTCCTCCCTCTGCCTAAGGGGTTTTGGTTCTGCCTTCTGCTCTAGGAGCCTCACCTGCATGGGGTACAGGGGTGAGAGGGAATGGATTCCACCTTTGGTGCTCTCTATGGAGCAGCTGCATCCAGGGACGCTCGGGGGGATGCTGGAGGATGGGAGGAGTTGGAGCCTGGAGGGAGATGATCAGGTCCTGGAGTGTCTCTGGCTGTGCCCATGGCTGGCCTGGGGTGATGTCCAGGTCCTTGAGAGTCTCCTGGTCCTCTCTATTGCCGTTTGGGGGTCTTTGTACAAATCACAAATGGGATGGGACTGCTGGGGAACACTTCTCAAGCTGTTGTATTTTCCAGCATTACTCTCATTACATGGTTATGACAATGGGAAGATGCCAGCAGCTCACATCCCCGGCAGCAAAGAACTTAATGTTACAACTCACTTTTAAAGTTTTTTGACCAATCACACAAAGCAAAAGCGTATTGACAGTAGTTCTATCCAACCACTATAAGCACATGTACCTGTGGTTAAAAAAAATCTTGCTTATTTCAAATACAATACCTACTTGTAAGCCTTAAAATACAGTGCACAGAGCTCCATTATTAAGCTTAGAACTTACGGATATCTTGACAGATATACGTTTCTACAGTTTAGGGAGTTATTCTAGCTTAGTCTAGTTATTAGAATAAGCTAACACAGCTTAGGGAGTTATTCTAGTTATTCTATTCTGGCTATTAACTATTCTGTAGTTAATACACAGACCATTGTTCTATTCGTCCTTACTTTCTACTTCTCATATAATTTCCCACAATCTCCTGGGGAGGGAGGCTGTTACAGGAGCCTCCTCGAGCCAGGTCTCATAAGCTCTTGGAGGTCTGTAACACACCCAAGATAGCTCAGCTACCCTTGGAAGCATAAAAATCAACAGGATGACTTGTGTTGCAGTGTTGGAAAAAAAAAAAAGTTTAATAAAAGGCAAAATAACAAACAGAGAAAAACTGAGCCAGGTGCCAGAGGTTCTTTGTTCACTTCTTTTTCTAGTAAATTGTTTAGGAGGGACTTT